GACAGGAGGATGAGAGAGGAAGCGAGACGCGGGCGGTGGGGGCGACGGAGACGGAGCGCGGTGTACGTAACGAGAGGGAGCGAGTCGCGGCTGCGTCATGTTCTCAACGAACTGGGTCAGTAGGTCTCCCCACCGCGCCTCCCCATCGTCGGCACATCCACCGCTCGTACGTATATCCGCGCGCACACAACCCGCGCGCGCGCGGCACAGGCGTGCGAGGCACTGGTGCTTGTCTCTCTCGGGGAGTGCCAACGGCGTTGCTGTTGACCCAGCCGCGGCCTGTACGTGTCTCGTGCCCGCGAACGCTTACCCGCGGCCGCGCTTCTACCTCACGGTATATACACTCGTGACGGTTCACCCGTCGCGTCGTGCACTTTGAAAGCAAAAGTCGCTTCTCTCCTCCGCGAAACGGTCTTCGCGCGCCGCGTCCTGCGTTCCTCTCCCTCGCGAGCGGATCTTCTCCCATGCGGGATCTCGTTTACGCGCGAAGAGGCCGAGAAAGAGAGAGAGAGAGAAAGGAAAAAAAAGAAGAACTCGGTCCTATTCTATATATGTACGCGGAATGTGTCTTACGTCACTCGCAGGACCGGTCGCTTTCTCAGTTTTGCCGGTGGGATACTGCGAGAGTTCTTTTTTTTTCTCTCTCTCTTTCTCGTTTGCATACACACGTATAGCGCCCGACAGTATACGATCCCTTATACATTTTCAAAATTCATCGGCGCTGTATAAAAAAAAAAAAAATTGGAAGCCCGAAGCGGAGGCCCGGAGGATAATACCAGATAATACGAGAGACACGCGTGTTGCACGTCGCGCTTAACGAAACTTGGACGAGAGGAGACGACGCGCTGCTGCTGCTGCTGCTCGGGCGAGGTGAGGCGAGACGAGCGAGCGACGCTCGCGCGGACAATATTTCTCCGGCCGACATAGACCTGGTTCCGTAAGTAGGTCATCCCCCGCCACAAATCGCGCAACCTCCTTCTTGCCGTTCCCCTCCCCTCCCC